ACATACTCAATAGTAATATGTATTATTCTGCCTATCAGATTTACTCGTTTACTAAAGGTGCTCCAGCTCACTTTAACACCTGTGTTAACTGCTGTAGGTAGCCTGAGTTTAAGGCAGCTCATAGGAAGTGGAAGTCACACAACCACATAATTTTGAGAGTTGCACAGTATATATGTTTAACACACTAGACAGCATCTGTACGGTGCCAAAAAGGGATTAAAGGCAAGTTTTGGGGAGGTCCTAAGAAGACCTGGAATCAGTCTCTGAGACTAAACAAGATTTGTTAAGCCAAAAAAATATGAGCAAACATTAAGAGATAGTTAAATGCCAAAAATAGTCACCATAAGGTTGGTGATCTTTGGTTAGCGCTGAACAAAGAAAGGAACTGAAAGTATCACGAGGATATTGTTACTGTTTGCATGACAAGCCATAAATGGGGAGGAGAGGGGGGTCAGAAAAGAAACTCTGGGGAGATCTTAATATCCATGTATAACCACATACTTTGATGGGTTCTTTGAAGTAAATAAAAGGCCCGGGAACTGGGTGTGGTAACTCAAAGTGACACAATAGGTGGCTGTGCCAGTTTGATCACATCACTGACAAGCTTTGATAAGTGCCAGAAAAACTGACAAGGGCTGTTTGGGCTGTTCAGGGAATCCAAAAGGGAATAGGGTCCATTTTCTGTTACCTCTCTAACAAGATGATGAGTTTAAAAGCCACAGTGAGAGTGGCACAATCAAGAGGAGAGGGGAGAATTTGTGTCTCGTGAGTACAGACTAAGTGGATTTAAGACAGCAGCAGTACAGGACACGCATCACATTTTAGGCCGCAGTGCTTCAATGGAAGTGCAAATGTGTGTCCTAAACATTGTGGAAGAAGTGTGGAAGACAGGCAAGTAAGATTTTACAGCTGAGTAGCAAACACCATAGCCTAGACACAATGAAGGAACTATGTGGCCTTTAAGTTCACGTTACAGACACTTGCACTACTTTCTAATTAAAGTAGTAGGGGCTCATTTTAGCCTAGTAAAGGGCATTGAAAACAACATTGCTTATGCAAATCAAGTGAAAAAGCAAAAATCTGTGTCCATCTACATATGTACAATAATTCAGGATTTGAGTGCAGCCTGTTGCACCACAGTTTCCTTTATTTTTTGTACTCCGTAATTTCCACATCCTCAAGAAAATAATCTAACAAAAGAAGAAAAGAGCAAAGTTATTTTCCTTTGAAATATCTGCTGTCAATAAACCTGATTCTCTCAATGGCGATTAACAGGCTCATGATGCCTCACTGCAAACATAATGCCCTGGATGTTGTTTTCAAGTTACTCTCTAAGAACAACATCTACAGACCAAAGTTATTTCTTAAACTACTAACAAGAAAAGGAAAATGCTTGAGTGTGACGTGGGAAAGTTGTTAATTCGACATTTTCAATCACAGCATCACGTTTCAGGATTCAGCTACAGCACACTGCTAGCCCTTAGCATGTGAGCAGGTCTGTCTGTTTGCAGACAGACCTGCTCACATGCTAAGGGCTGCTGCTACGACAAAGTGTGGCATTAAAGCATTAAAGCAGGGCGGTAGCCTAAATATAGCCTAGGAGCCAATTTGCCTAGGGCAGCGTGATTTTCAACACGTGATACCGGTGATACAGGCCGCTGTCCCTGGTCCTGAAATTGTGCTCGCTCCTTTAAATGTAAGCGTTTGACGTTTCATAAAAGAAGCCACGAGGATATTTGGAAAACTGCAATGATTGTATGACTAACGACAAGTAAAACGTGCACTGCAATGTGTCTGAAATGTCAAAGAATAAAGCAGCTTTCCTGGCTGCAGATAGTAAAGTACACATAAACTGCAATTCCTCACTAGCAACAGTGCGAGGCGCTTGTCTATTGCAGTTCAGGGAGAATGGGAGAGAGAAAGAGAGTTTGATTGATCATGTGGGCTATGGGAGCCTGCGAGAGTTGTCGAAAATTGCTGCATAGACGCCCCTTAGGCACCTATTTGGTACCCAGTGACTCCAAGCCATGCTGTGGCCACAATAACCACAATTCACCAGAGTGCCTGTTACCAAAAGCCCCAAGCCCGGGGCTGTTAACACAACGTTGATTCTTCCGGGTTGGACTTCACCGGTATTCCACATTAGGGCTACATTGACTTACCGCAGTCCTCACACAAGATCCTTCCAACATCCTTTTTTAGGTTCTTTCCACTGGTGTCAAGAGGCGCGAACGATGCCTTAAAAACCAAGGGCTCGTCAGTGGGGTCCATGAAAAAAATGTACTTGTGGTTTTTCTTCACTTTGGTGCACGGAGCCTCAGATCCAAATTCCCCCACGGTGACGAGCTGTTCTCGCTCCAGACCCCCGCTGTTTAGGGGCCAAACATCCAGCACTTTGACATTCACACGGTACGGCTCCGCAGAGACGTTCACAGGCGTAGACTGCACCTTGCCCTCGATCACCACGGCGGATTTGTAAGCCTGGTCCTGCAGGGAATTCAAACTCGGGGAGTAGCAGGCGAATGAGACCCCGATGACCAGCATGGATAAATGTACTGAATCAAGCCTCATGCCGCCTGCTTTGGCTCGGTGGTCGCTGGTCGCGTTGCGGCAGGGCTCTCTCGGCTGCGGGGCGATGGCGATGGAGCTGGGTTGAATGAAGAGACAGCAAGTAGGCTCCAGTAGCACGACAGCGCGGCAGACCTTGCATAAGTGTCCATGCCATCGGGATCCGCTGCTTTTTCGGGTGATTTTTAGTGGGTAAACAGTAGCTCTGGAACCGCGGGGTGACGCTGGGTTTCAAACCCAGTCACTGATTTCTACTAATAATAAGGCATCGTAGACATGCTAAGCAAGGAATCGGCGGTTTCACTCTCTCCAGAAGATGCTTCCTATGCTGCCATAGTAGCCTTAACTGCAAGACGACGCCACTCTTATCTTTGCCCAAAAATTGCAGTGGTGGGGTACCGCTATGATGGTTTTCTGTATCATCTGCAGCGGAGAGAAAAGACGCAAAATGCTGCAGTGAACCACAAGTTTGGTAGTCCGCTCGCAAAACAAAAGCCACGTTTCATTCCCCCCACCCCTTCAAAAAAGAAGAAAGAAAAGAAAAGAAAAGAAAAATAAAAAAAAATTAAATTAAAATAAAGCAATTATTTCTGCTCGGCAGCTATAGCGCTAATACGCCGCCTTCCACCGCGGCTCTCTCTCCGCCTCCCCTACGAGCCACAGACGGACAGAAAATAATGCCGATTGCCAAGAGGCTCCCTCAACAGAAAAAAACGCAGAACTGGAGCTCTGACACGGGCAACCGACGCACCGAAGGGTCGTTCTCCTCACTCCCCAAACCCCGCTACTGTATGCCGATCACTCCATGGTCTTTTATCGGTGTCGACCTCACGTTATAACGAAACAAACGAAATCCAAAATCCATGACTGTCCCTCCTCAAAATCGCATTTCACTGTAGCCAAGGCATCGCTCCAAAAACCGAAACAGGTTCACACGGAAACCCGCTGAGCCCAGAGAAATCATATGGCTGCGATGACTAAGGCTGCGAAAGCATTTCGGAGTCTTCAAGAGACTGTTTTGAATGAGTTTTGCGTCTCATCCCATTAAGTCATGCCCTGCATTCAGGTCACATTCACTGCTCTGCCTCTAAAAAAAAGAAGAAGAAGAAAAAGAAAGAAAAAGAAGAAGAAGAAAAAAAACGCTGTTGAAGGAAGACCGCATTAAATCTATAGAGCTGCAACACCGGGGTCCAAACCGCAGATGAACTATTTTACTCTACAAGAAGGAAAATTGTTAAAGTGTTTGTTTTTTTTAATATATATTTAAACGTGTTCATTCAGGGTAGTTCTGACAAAGCACTTTGACAAACGTCACGTTACATAACTACACAAATTAACATAGGAATACTGATTATCGTCATACCAAATATAACTAAAGTTGAAATTTATAATGGTTTGGTTTTAGCCTGAATGCGGATACATGATGTCCAAGTAACTGCATCACAAAGAGCGACATCTGCTGACCAGAGAGTAGTTGAGAGACAGTAACATACCCTAACTGCTGATGTTCATCAAACAAGCGACACAGCAGGGTGCTAGATTTGAATTTGGCTCAAATGAAAGGTGCACAAGATTAAGTGAAATAACCTTTAAAAGGTAAAAAGGTCAGGGTATAAATTCTATAATAAATCAATCTAAAACCAGGAAGCCAAAGACTCTCAAAACCATACTGTAACTTATAATAACACAATGGAGTTACTTGCGTGCACCACCTGCCAGCTTGAAACAGACCTGGCTGCTCTCCGTGGTGCTGAAATTTGAATTAGACCTATAGAGTGTTAATGTCAAACACGCTCACAATAGACAAGACATTACTGTGTGAACTAAAGTCCTCCTGTCAGCACCTATAATTGAGAATGCGATTTTTAAACAGCACTCTGCAGACCAGTGCGGGATAGATGCGATGATGTAGGAATTGGTGGAACAAGCATTTAAGGAGCAATCACATAATAGGTAATGGATTTCCCCTTTAAGATCAGAGCTACTTTATCAATTCTTGGCTGGGAATTACTATAAATAGTCACTTTAGTTTTTCAGTCTAGGACATAGGACTTTGTACAGGGGTCATATGTTTTTGAATATATTTTTGATAGGAAAACCAATAATTAGAGTGATTAAAAGTTTCTCCCACTGAAAACGCTGCGTCCAGATGAACAGAATCAACTTTTGGAGATCATTCATTCATTCATTTTGCCACTGGCAAAGTGGGACACACAAGTTCACAACATTAACGCAAAAACTACGCTCGGATTTCACTTCTTTAGATGCTACCCTGCATTACAGTTCCCAGAAATGTTGCCCTATACCTGTTACAGTCAAAAAGACAATACTGTAATTCCCCAGTGTCGCCGACAAGTGGCGCCCTTGAACCGAGTTTCCAACATTTGCGTGTTGACATCATGCAACGTGCAGCGGCGTTGAATTGTGCGTGTGTCGCTCTTCGTGCCACGACTCTCGGTTTCTTGTCCATCTTGTGAAGCAAGCAGGAGCAGTCCGTGTCGCTGTCAGGCAGGAGTCCGAGCGCATTCACATGTGTCTTTTGCCTCGTCTCGCCATCTGCGGCAGGCCGTCGAGGTTTTAAGGCGCTGCGCCTGCAGACTGAGCGGGGTAAAGGTAGGTTATGGAGTCTCACTCGGTGGAATGACGCTTTATTTACAAGTCATTCGCATTGTTGCTGTGCTGTAAGTGTCCTGACGTGCAGCCAAGCATATGACATTGCTTAGGAGAGTTTACAGAAGCATGAATACTTCACTGTACGACCGATCTGTCTGATCTGATACAAAAAACGAAAAATGAAAAAAAAAATGGAGCTGCATTTGGAGCGATGCCACCTATGCTGGGATGTAGGGAGAAACTTTGGGAGGTGATCACAGCGGCTGTCTTTTACCAACTGCGACAACACTTTCTGAGGCTGAAAACTGCGTTGGATGCGATCTCGGGATCCGAAAAAGACCTGCATGTATGATCCACGTCCATAATTTAAAATTGTCAGAAAGAAAATAGGCCAAGTACCGACTGGTGATGAATTTATTGCTTAACTGATAAGTTATTCATCTGTCTAGTGGGTCTTCATAAATCTGCGTATATAGAGGCGTATATAGTGTTTTAGGTGTAACTTTGTTCAGACAAAGATGAGCTTGTCACAGTAAACGCTTTGATTAGAAAGTCTGATGAAATTCTAAATGAGTGGTTCCATTGCAATCTGAGGCCCAGAGAGGTAAGGCCATTTTAAATCCGACACATTATTCACAAACGAGGCCTGTAAGTTTGCAGTGCTGTTCCTTCATTCAGTGCAATAGGAATGACTTACCCATTTCGCGTACATCCACAGCGGTGTTTATTGGACTCATCTATTTAGAAAAAATAACAATAAAAAGAAAGGGCACATCATTTTTTTAAAAAAACAGCATAGAGTTGACTTCTCTTCAGCAGAAACACTTAATGAAAAGAATACAAGCTTGTACTCAGAGTTTCCTGGGGAGTGGCAATGAAATAATGAGAGAGGTTCACTGCGAGCAGGTGCGGACAAACTTAGTTGATTTTTTTTTGCATAGAAAACCAACAGGCCAACCTCACGCTGAACATCACAGTCATACACGTTACACGTTTAGACTCTAAAATTGTCATTGGTTTAATCCTCGCGCAGTTGTTAGGTTTTTAATCACAATTTATTCATTTATTTTTTAATCAAAGTGGGAATTACTGGGGAATGAATCACCCTTTGAGGCGCAGAATAGGTCATATTTGAATGTTTATGTGTATAAAAAATATAAAAGGTGGGTAAAGATTAAGAGAACGTTTAAAAGAAGGAGAGAATTAGTCAAGAGTATTGTTTCCTCTTAAGGCCCACATGCTTCTGTCTCCTCACCTGCAGCTCTGATTTACACTATTGATGGACAGAGTAGAAGAGCGACCTAAATTCTTCTTCAGGGAATTTTAGAGGGAATAATTTTCTTGAACGCGACTTCTCTCTTAGCATCTGCCGGATATTTCAGCGTCCTCCTGCTTCACATTTTATTATTCATTATTTGTTTAAATAAATTATAATTTTTAATATTTGTAACTTTTTAAATTACCCAATATTTTTTTCACAGCCCGGAATTTTCTTTTTTAAACAATAAGCATTTGAAATGATTACTATAAAAATACAGAATACACACAGCATTTTAAATGTAAAACATTTCAAATTACTGCGTTAATATTTAACGCCTGAGAAATCAAGTAGTATCTATAAGTCAAGATGCATACATGTTTATTTTTATTTTATTTTACTTTATTTTTAAGTTTCTACGTTGGGTTTGTTTGTATGACTGGCTTCAGTCAGGCCTAACAGTCTTGTGGAAAGGTAGAGAAGAAAGGTCAACTTTGAGAGGTAAATTAATCACGTATCTCAACGTTTCCATCAATGCAGTTGATATTTTCTATTCTAAATAAAAGTTTGAGGTTCAATGCTCGGTCTTGTTTGTGAAGTGAAGAACGAATAGTGCCTAAAGGATACCCACAGTTAAACATCTTACCATTTTCCCTTATTTAGACTCGGCAGCGACACATAAACGAGTCTGCAAGAATGAGCGGCGGGGGAAACAATTATGTTTTAAATTCTGGGCGTTCTGCAGTGTAATCATATAGACGAGGCCTAGGACAGCTGTCTCACAGTCACTGACTGAATACTAAATTTTATTTTCTTGTAATAATAGGCCTACTAACTCTTTGTAGTGCGCTTGAATAAAACTCTGGAATCACTATTTGAGCGATTTTTACATTTAAAACCTATTTGCGCTGTTTATCTTTGGTCGTAAAAATGATTTGGAGGCAATCTAAAGTAGTTTGAGGTAAATATGAAAAAGGAATTAGAAAAGGCGGAAGAAGGGCAGAAGATTTATGCTAAATTAAAAATACAGATACCCTATACAGGCTCATAGATGCCTCGAGTGAAAGGTCTTGGCACTCTTTTTTAAAAAACAAAACAAAAAAACAAAATCGTTTTCCAGGTAAATCGGAAGTAAGACTAAAAAAAAGGTCCTTCGTGTAAAAAAAAAAAAAAGTATCGCCAGCATTGATTATTGTATTTTATTTTTTGGGCAGAATTTAAGTTAAGATGGGTTTATTATTTATTTATTTGGGGCTTTATTACTACTTATTTTTATGCTCTAAGATCGTCATGGTCTAGTCAGTAATAATCTGTGTAGGCCCAGATGGGCATGCCTTGATCTTTTCCCATTATCAATCCATGCAGTGGCTTTACTTGAAATGCGCAAAATATTACCAGAGCAAATGAGCTGAACTATCATAGCCCAGGTCTGCCCATCAAATTTCACATTTGCGCAAGTAAGAAAAAATAAAATGAAAGAAAGAGCTTTGACCCGGAGCAGACATTGCCGCCGCTGAATAGCTGAAGAGAAGGAGGCCCGAGTACTAATGAGGCAGGCCTGCGAGCTGCAGGGCGCTCCGCTGAGACAGCGTTCAGACCTTGCTTGGACACCTGGGTGACACAATTCTATCTTAAGGCGTGAATAAGTGGGTAAGATTACCTTAGAAATAGTCGCCACAAAGTCAGAGTTTAGAAACAGCACCTTTCTTTCATGAACGTAAGCTACAGGAGGGGTTGCTACACTTTCACGCCTTCTGTGTGTGTTAGCCTTGATGTTGGCAGCTGTTTTGCATGTCCCGTAGACATACCGAGCACGCTCATTGGATGTTTTGCTACATAAAAAATGTAACCTTTGTAAAAAAAATTTGCACCTTTACAGATTTCAAACTGAGGAATGACTGGTGGTATTAAAGCTAGCCTAGTTGTTCCGTCTTTTATCTAAGCAGAGGTAAGTAGCCTCTAGGGTGGGGAAACTTAGCTGAGTTGCTGAAACAATGTTGTGTGAGACCCACCTCTGCTCATATTATTCCCACACAGTTAACATGGCGGCTCTCTCTCCCTTTCTGACATGATTTGGCGTTATAGAACAAAACTGCTCATTCATAAAATAAAACGGGAATCGGAAACTAAAAATTAATATATATAATTTTTTTATTTGTATTATTAGCTATACATCGCATATATTTTAAACTAAACTTCCTCCCTCCCTTCCTTTCTAATTCTAATGCTGATATCAGTGTTTAGTATAGCCTAGAAATCCAATGTATAAAAGGTAAGACGTATTATAAATTATGTAATAATTGACTGTCGCCTAGAGTGAAAACTAATTATTCGTTACAAGCTATTCGTTTTGTCAGTCCTGCTATTATTTGTATTGCTGCTGATGTGGTCCTGTTAAATAATATGTATAGACCGATTTTCTTGTGACTTGTAAATCAAAAAAAAAATTTAATTCTTCAACTCTTTGAGAGCAAACGGTGATCTGTAAACTCGTTAGCACATCCCACGTAAACAGATACACTTGTGATGTGAAGTCGGTGATGCATTAGAAGGCTATTTTCTTAGATAAAAACTTGAGGGCAAGCTTGGGTCTTTCCAGGTTGGAAAAGCACCTGGCTTTTCGGGAGTTGTACAGACGAAATGAAACTTAAGTGGGCTGGTAGACGCATTTCCTCCAACAACCGTTGGTTTCGCTTTCAATATTAGTGACAGCTTATGACATTAGTCGTGCGGTGTGGCATAAAGGGCATTAAAACACATGGCAATCGCTCTGCGTTAAGCGCCCTTCTCGTTTTATTTTTTTATACTCTTGTGTAGATCTCGCGAGAGCTCCGGCTCGCTGTGGCTGTGCAGCAGACAGAGGGAGAAGGCAGGCAGGCAGCATCATGGCGGACAGAGACAGTGGAAGTGAGCAGGGAGGAGCAGCTACGGGCCCAGGCTTCGGTTCCATGCACCTAGCGACAGGAGGGGCGGGCTCGGCCTCCGGGCTCCAGCATGAGACCCAAGAGCTGGCATCGAAGAGGGTTGACATCCAAAACAAACGTTTCTATTTGGACGTTAAGCAGAACGCGAAAGGCCGCTTCTTAAAGATAGCAGAAGTCGGGGCCGGTGGAAACAAGAGCCGCCTCACTCTCTCCATGTCCGTGGCGGTTGAGTTCCGTGACTACTTGGGGGACTTCATCGAACATTATGCCCAGCTGGGTCCGAGCAACCCGGGGTTGGTACAAGACGAGCCCAGGCGAGCCCTCAAAAGCGAGTTCTTGGTCCGAGAAAATCGGAAATACTATATGGATCTGAAAGAGAACCAGCGGGGACGGTTTCTGAGGATTCGACAGACCGTTAACCGGGGGCCCGGTTTGGGATTCACGCAAGGCCAGACGATTGCTCTGCCTGCCCAGGGACTTATTGAGTTTCGTGACGCTTTGGCTAAACTTATTGACGATTATGGTGTAGAGGACGAACCTGCAGAGTTGCCCGAAGGGTCATCGTTGACTGTGGACAACAAACGGTTTTTCTTCGACGTCGGATCCAATAAGTACGGTGTGTTTATGAGGGTAAGCGAGGTGAAGCCAACGTACCGCAACTCAATTACAGTGCCCTACAAAGTGTGGTCCAAATTTGGGAATACTTTCTGTAAATATGCCGAGGAGATGAAGAAGATCCAGGAGAAACAGCGGGAGAAAAGGGCATGCGAGCTGCAGCAACAAGAGGAGATGCAGCAGGACGATGGAGACGAGGATTGATATAGACAGCAAACAAAAAAAGAAAAAAAAGAGAGAGAGAGGAAAAACATGCCAGAGTAATGAAAATAACAAGAGAATTATAATTAAAAAGAAAACACTCTACTGTATAATGAAAGAAATCTAAAGATTTAACTGTATTGGTTTAACCAAGGGAGCATCACCCACAATATAAGAAACCTCCACGACCTGACAGTTATGACATGTTGTCACTCATCGCTGGATGTTACCCCACTTAACCACCATTAATACAGTAACAGGCTGCTAAACAAAGTAATAACATTATATTTGAACATTGTTTCCTACTTGACAAATGATATTGAACTGTTTATTTCCCTTATTAACAGAAAACTTTTGTACCAGTTAAAGCTATTGTAAAGAGGAGAGGAAAAAAAAGTGTTTGCAATGTTCAAATTGAATTATTGCCGAGTTCAAAGGAGAGACAAAAAAAGTTTCCTTCTCATGTGAGTTAAATGACTTCAGCACAAATCAGATGTTTTAATTTTTAGACCAAAATTCCAAAACTTTGTAAAAGGTTGTCACATGTACTTGCCATCCTATTTACCTTTACCTGTGAGTAGAGAGGTGTTTACACATAAATCATATGAGGGCTAGGCCTGCTTCGGAAACTGATAAGATTTCATGCAGTACATATATATATATATTCAAAACAAAACAAAGGAACGTGTAGGCATTTTCATGAAATGAAATAAGTGCTCTATTTATTGTGCAATATGCATTGCATATAAGGAACTGGTCATTGGATCTTGACATTTGCCAGAGGCATTCAAAGATATATTAATATTGTAACTTTTGTTTCAGTTGAAATTGTTGCCATGCAGATGGATATATAATAGACTACCTTTGTGTCTCGTTGTTAATGCAATGTGTTCAGTTTAAAGGTACTAAATGTGTATTTGATAGAGGAAATGCAGAGACAACATGTAGCAAATGGCCTGAACTGCAGATTATTTAACAAGGCAAAAGACCCTGAATATACTGTGTTGATTGGCATAGTAAAAACTGGAAGAGCGCAATCGGTTAGTACATATGAAACAAACTTTTTGTGATCTTGTTTAGTCATAAAAGTCTAAATGGTGCCAAGGAGTGCTGTTGCTGCATGTTTATCTGCACTACGATTTCGTTGGTCTCCCAAAATATTGGCTCAAAGACCCTTCCATACGTATCTTTATCTGCCTATGTTGTATGAATCTCAAGTTCGAGGACTGGGGGGGGGGGGGATTACCATCCAAAAGGCTCGGTGTAGTTCTAGTGGAAGTTGTTTCAAAGCATGATTGTAAAAGCAGCGACCTTGTGAACAGTAATCGAAATATCACCATCACACTATGAGGACGGCCACTGAGGCGCTTGCCTGGCTTAGCCGAGGTGAAGACGGCCTGGTTCACCTGTTGGTGAATGTCTGTTATGTCATTGGATGTGCACATTCCTTTCTTGCGTTTTAAGATCCGAGGGTGTGAAGTTCAGTGTGGGGCTACTTTGGATACATTCTCATAGCTCTGCTTTAGATTTGTAAGCCCAAATACCCACCTGGGGTGATGAGATTCTGTTCTGGTCTAATTGTAAATATTTGGGCTGCCACACGGAAAACAACTGGTTCTAATCCAGTTCAGTCGCATCTCATAGATGTGTGATAGCAGTTTTATAAACTCTGTCAGTAAACTCCAGAGAAACTGGCAACAATCAGATACTGTCAGATTTACCTCAGCATTGAATTAAATGATTGCTCCCATGTTTAGATTGACTGGAAACCAGCAAACTAGACTGTCCTTGACCACCTATTTTTGGAGCCTTTGGTATAGCCTAAATGATACCTGATTGGGAGCATCCTCTTCAGCATATAAACAACCTGGTGCCTTACACACTCCGCATGCTTACACGCTGGCCTGGTGCTTTGGATCGCAGTTATGGCTTCTTTTTGTTTTCTTCTTCTTCTTTTTTTCAAAACTCCTTTTTCTTCTATTTCTTGTGTCTCAGCCCCCTTGTGTGCTAGCGCACGACTCGTGGTGCTAAAAGTGTTTGTTACAAACTCTTTAGAAAAATAGGAGCAGAATTCTTAACTTTTTTCTGCTACCTTTCAGCCC